TTGATTCATCAGGCAAGCGGGAATGTGTCAAAACTGAAGTGATATTTTGACAGCTTGACATTTCTTACATACGTGTTTTTGTCAGAAGGTTATCCGCTCACGTGTAACGCGCAATCAGTAGAAGAAGAGTAAGAATAAATAAAAATATTTTTAAATATTTTTTTTACTTAAAATATTTTTTCTAATATATTAAAGTAGAATGTTTATTAATATTCTGAAACGCTTATCAAAGAACGAATAGTTTAAGAGAAAATAGCGTGAAAATATTAAAACAAAATATTAACACGAAAAGCTATTAAAATCACACTTCTATTTTGACACATTCCTTGCCGGACGAATCAACAGTCATAAAAAACGATCAGCTAGAAACGAACACAGCTGGTGACTATCGATCTGGTGAATGGTATAGCATCAATGCAACTGAGTGTATAGTAATATCATGGTAATAATCATATACGAAGAGCATTTCATGGTAAATTACTATAGGATTTTACAATCGATTTTGCAGGTTGACATTTTGCAGTAATTCATTATTTTCGTTTCATATGTGCTACTTGTATATTTTAGCTGAAATGTGTTATTATAACACTATGTTTTTAGTGAAATTCACTGTGTTCTTTAGGAAGATAGAGACCTTATTGACAACCTATACCCGAACTACTACTAGAAACAGTAAAATTGAAAACAATTAATATTAAAAAATCTACAATATTTTCTCCATGTAATATTATCTCGAAGCCGCGTTAAAAAATCCACTAAATGAAACACACGTTCCTCGAAGTATTATAATCCCTCGAGATTGTCTCCTAATTATTTCGACCATTGGCTTCAAAGTGCAAAAAAGCTGCGTCATTGTCCAACGTAGAAACGAATCTTTGCACGAAGGTGTAGGCTGGGAACGATCAAAATATCGTGATGTCGCGTCCGCGGAAAAATGGAAAGTGGTCAATTAATTGTTCGCGAGAGCGAGAGAGAGAGAGAGGGGGAGGGGTGGAGAGAGAGAGAAGCGAGATTCGGCTCGGAGAGGAGAGACCGCGGAAGAAGAGAGCACATCGGAGCGCGGGACACTGATGCGCCTGCGCGCCATCCTCGGGGACGCTTGTTATGGATGTCTCAGTCTCGGCTCGCCTGGGCTGTAGGCAACACGGCCGACGCCGAAGCATCGCGTCAAGTATCCGGCCGAAGAGCCCCGGGAGACGTTCTAAAGATAGAAAACGCGCGTTGGCGGTGCGCTTTGCGCCGCGCGCGACCACGGAACCGCGGCTACGTGGTGGTTCCCCGGCTTGTTCCCCGTCGGACGACGATGAGTCGCGCGTGACACGGTGAAATCGCAACGGCCGATCGAAGACGACGATCGAGGACGCGCGGCTGTCGCTCAGGAGGACGCGAGGTCGCGAGGAGGACCTCGCGTTTCAACCACAACGACGGCAAGGACGTTGTCGACGACGACGACGACGACGACGACGACGGCAACGACGACGGCCGCGAGCGACGTGAACGCGAACGACCCGGAAAAAACGTACAAGAGACGCGCGCGCGAATCGATTCGAGACGACACGCGCGAGCGGAAAGTCGAAGCGACGGGCAGAACCGCCGCTCGATTCGCCGCTCGATACTCGTGTCCGGTTAATTTCCATGGACTCGCGATTAGATTAGGTGAATTAGAGGAGCGGTGAGCTGGCTCTCTTGTGCTCGCCGCGTCGGCTTTGACGTCGGGCTGCACTCCTGCCGCGATCGTCGTTGCAGCAGCACTTGCTGATCCTCGACAGACCCGATAGACTCGAATGTCGCGTAGATAACTTCCTGCCGCGGACGGAAATTGATGGAGTTGAGTGATATATACATCGCGACGCATCGTCGTTGGGTTCGCGCGCGTCGGAACGCGTGATGCGAATTTCGCGACTCACGGGCGAAGTGGATTTCGTCTTGTAAGCTGTTTACCTTTCGGTAATGGCGCGTTTGTTTGTTCTTCTCTCGATTCGGCTATAAATGCGTTCAAGGCTATCGGGATCGACCGCTGCTTCTCTCTGCTCGTATCCGCCGTTAGTCCGCCGATACGCCATTTACAAAATTGGCGCGTACATTGCGGGGGTGTCCTTTCAACGTGTACCATAGGTGATTTTGCTTTGAACAAATACGCGCGTACGCTCGATAATAACCGTGATACACGAAAGGGCGACCGCGACCTATTTACATAAATTACGTAAATTGATTCGAAAACATACGAGTCAATCGTAAATGAAACAGAAATTACGGGCTTTTCTGGTGATAATGGTATACAGAGAGAACTTCTTCACTGCTCTTTTTTTTGTAGCTAAAAGTTAGCCTGTGATCTTACTCACGAATTAATTCACGAGGAACTGTAACCATATCGATACCTAAACTACTGAAAAGTAAAACTTTTCGCGCAGATTACACAGCTATCGGATATTTTTCACAAATAGCATTCAAAAACATATATTTAGAATTAACCGTAATTGAATCAGAAATTTGGGACGCAATGATATGCAGACAGAATTTTACGTTTTACTGTCTTTTTTTGTGGCTAAAAATTATCTTATAATCCTTTTTTCGTATTAATTCGCGAGAAATTATAACCAACCTCGACACGTAATTTAGACTATCGAAATTGTTAACGAAACTTTTCGCGCAGATTACACAGCTATCTATGTCAGCTATTTTTTACAAGTTACGAAAGTTGTGAATAATAAATTCCGGATTTTCGAGGCACAATAATATATAGGCAAAATCTTATTCTTTACTGCTTTAAGCTGAAAGACACCTTATAAACATTTTCTCGTATTAATTCGCGAGGAACTGTAACCATCTCGACACGTAATTTAGACTATTGAAATTATTGATGAAATTTTTCACGTAGATTACATAACTATTGGTTATGGTTTTTACAAGTAGTATTCGAAGACATAAAAATGGAATCAATCGCAAATAAATAAGAAATTTCGTGCACAAGATATGCAGGCAAAATCTCATCCCTTACTGCTCTTTTTTATAGCTAAAAGTCACCTTACAATTCTTTTCTCGTATTAATTCGTAAGGGACTGTAACCATTTCGGTACGTAACTTAGACTACTGAAATTGTTAATGAAATTTTTCGCGTAGATTACATAGCTATTAGATATTTTTTACGTCATATCCAAAATTATACAAATGAAATCAATCGCACATGAGTCAGAAATTCCGTGCTTTTCAGGGCACAATGATATGCAGGCAAAATGTTACTACTTACTGTCCTTTTTTTTGTAGCTAAAGGACACCCTATAACCCTTTTTCTCGCAATCTGCTGTTAATCATATCAACACGTGATTTAGACTATCGAAATTGTTAACGGAAACTTCTGACGGAGATTAACGCAGCTATCGGTGTAAGACATTTGTTAAAAGTAGACGAAGGTACGACGCCGATATCGCCGCCAGCGTATCACTTCGTGCGATGGACTGGCTCTCGTCTTGATGAAACGCGCCTGCACTTTTTGCATCGGAAACTTGAAAAGCCATCTAAGTTACCCGCGCTATACTGCCATCGTGCTTCTTATACGTACTTCCGCTCGGCTGATGCTTATCAACGTCGCGATCCGCGCGCTCGCCGTTACCTCGCCAGACCGACAACTGGGAACGTGAAGTTAGCGTTGTACGGCTCCGATGGGACAACGCGACCGAGGGTGGAATCTACCCGCCCGGCTGCCTTATTACACTTCCATCTACTTATCGACGCTTCCGCTCGCTTCCGCCTCAGCTCTCCCGCGAGTCACCTGCGAGTTCGTGCTGCGCGCACGTTTTCCGGCACACCTCTCCTCGAATTCGCAGAGGCACCGGTCGAGACGAGGCCGCGTGTTCCAGAAGATCTTCGAAAGCCCTCCGTCAGTGTCGTCGGAATTCCGCTCCGCCGCACTCGGTTCTTCCGTTTCTTCCACACGACGACGCTCTGGCGCATCGGGCTCCGCGAAGATTTGTCGGCCGGGATCTCTGTCTCGTCCCTTTGCGCGGAACTGATCCGATTTGATGCCGCCATTACACAAATTGTAGCGTTGCCCTGCACCGAAACTTCGCGAAACTTTCTGACAATCGAATCAACGTCGGATAATAAGAGATCGACCATTTATCGCGCGAGAAAATGCGATTGCGCGGAGGGAGGAGAGGCGGTGTCCGATAATGAAGCTCCGTCGCGACATGAACTTCGCGTCAGTGCGCTAAATAATTCGATGTTCGAAGTTTTCTTATTTGCAAATGTAATGTTACTTCGTTATTAAAACTGTACGGTAACTTTGTCTCGCTGTACTCTGTCGAGGCAGTAGTAAGACAGGAAATCGTAAGATTTATGTCACGGCCGTTATTTCATTATTCAAACGAGTAGTAAGACGAGAAATGACAATGTTTCGTCCGAGTCGAAATTTTGATCCCACTTTCGGCCTCTACGTTCTACTCAACGCCTATTTTGATGCTCCGCGAAACTTACATCAATCTCTCTTGATTCTATTTAATCTACTAACTTTGTCAAGAGGTCCTCTTTAGAGGTCCTCTCTACAGGTGGTATTCTGTACCATTTCTCTGCCATTTAGAGACGTTAAATAGAGTATTTCAGTTTCTATGTCTATTAAACGTACGCTAACCTTCAGTATATATATATATATATACAGGATGTTATCTTTTCCCCGCCTACTAAGTACATAGCGTTATTCCTTATGGAAAACTGAGTTGAAAGATCCTGAGCCATTTTGTCGAAATAAGTTCTTATGGTAACTTTTCAACATTTAACATATCTTTACAGCTAAACTCTAAATTAAAAATCTATTCAAATAACGTCCGCTTGAAACAAATCGAAGAAAATAGATTTGCTATCCACTTAGTCGTCCAAAGCATCGTTTGCGGAAAGTCTTGTTTTTTTGATCTTGTATTTCGTAAACTATTGCCATTTCGATATTTTCGTTCAGTACTTCTCGATTTAGATTTTTACGAGGAAAAAGCTATATATTTTATAATGGTGGCAGGAAAAATAATACCATCTTGATGTTAGAAAGTTCACGGGGGGTCTTGAAAGTAAAGCTAAAATTTCAACTTGGATACAATCTTCGTGTTTAGCGTGTTCGCTCATATTGACGGTAATGACGGCCTAAAGGAGCTTCATTAGTCACTTCATCAACTGCCTCACGCCAATTCGACGACATCGTAGACGGTGTCCCACGCGTCTTCGACTTCCTCTCGACCTGTCACTCGCTGGCGCCTCGATGTTCTCCGCCGCGGATCAGATCGATTGATCGTCTCGCTCAATAAATGTGTCATTAGGGCTGTATGCTTCAAGTTAATGTGTACCGGAGGTCGAGGAACTCGAGGGGGTGCCTAAAGAGAAGTGAGACTGTCTCAGTTCATTCGCACTGAACAAATAATGCGCGTTTTAGATTCGAATCTCGAGTAAATCGAAAGACAAGCGACGGTGAACGAGAAAGAACCGGTGCGCGAATACCATGGTGCTAAAATCCTTCGTGTTTTAGCGAATTCAACGACGCTGCAAAGAAGAAAATGGATATATTACTGCGAAACAATGAAAGGACTTAACTTGCGTGTTTAATGAATATATACACGTGTCTCGTTGAGGACAGGGAGAACGAAGAAGAATAAGAGAGACACACACACAGAGAAAGAGAGAGAGAAAGAGAGAGAGAGAGTGAGAGAGACAAGGAGGTAGGCAATGCGACTAAATGAAATGTGCGATAGAAAGCCGATCGACCCACCGCGAAGAGCAAAGAAGATTTAACAATAGGAAACTGATAGATATCAGCAAAGTTCGAGAATACGAGGGTAGCCTGCATGTTGGAAACAAAGATCCGAGCGAAAGAACGGACAGGGAAGAGCTGTTAGGTGAAGAAAATTGGACGATATTGCCAGGAAGGCAATTACAGAGGTATCCTCGGAGAAAATAAGGAAGGGCGAACTCTAATATATACACACATCCACACACATATATACATATATACACAAAAGAGACCGGCGATAAAGGTGGAGAAATCACGCGCAATGTTGAGAAATTTTGCAGCAGAAGTGACGAAGTGTGGAAATGCTAGTGAGAAAAGAAGATTCGGCGGCGGTGAGATCGATGTTGAAGGATAAATGAGCGCGGAGAAAGCTAGATAGATGAACCCGCGGAACGGGACGAGCGAAAACCGCAAGAAAGAGCGAGGAAGCTGCGCGAAGCTTAAGTGATGGAAAAGCGCGAGGAGGGGCGAGTTCGAACGGAGATGAATAGAGGCAGGTGCGAGGAGATGGATTAACGTGGATCTCGGGATCGCGCCCTTTTAATTTGCAAGGCGGGCTAAATGAACGGGCATGCGAAGGGTGTGAGAGCCGGCTATACGCGACAAAATCTCTCGCGAGCGGGCGAGAAGCTGCTGGCGGAGAAGTTCACTTTTGCTTGTCTCGTCTTCGTGCCAACGATGGCGGACGATTGTTCACGGGTGACTAGCTTCGAAACGGCCGGCCTGCTGTTCTAGAGCGCACGTGCTTCGTAGAGATCGTGTGATCGTGCGCACTCAAGAGGGGTACACGTATGGTGGGACCCTCCACCCTCTCGACCGGAACGACCACAGCAAGTGTTCGCGCGAGTGTTAAAAGGCGCGCATCTTGATCATCACCCCCTATCAGCGAGAAAATCGTGTCGGAAAGATCGATTCGAAACGGCGAACTCTGTACCGAAGACACACGCGAATTCCTCGAGTTTGACCATGTGCACTGTGTTCAGGGATATTTAGGGGAAAAACAAAGTAGAGGAGAAGCCAGGCGGAAAGAACGAAAGCGCAAGGGTTCGGGAATTCAAGATAACGCGTTAATCCAAGAAGTCTCACTACTGCCGATTTTGAAAAAACTCTAGTTCAGTCCTCGTCGTCGCTTCATCTATATTCCCCAGCGAATTCGTCACACACACACACACACGTACACGCACAATACACGTATAAATATACGCGCGCGCACACACACACATACACGCGCGCATACATATACATCGTTCTCGCAGAGTATAGAGAGTGCGATCCTGTTTCTCGCCGATGCGCGCCGTGAATCCCAAGAGAAAGAGACAGGAAGTGGAAGCGACACCGGAATTGTACGCGAAGTGCCGCCGCCACCGCGTGATCTTCGGGCTTCGAGGTGCGAGCTGGTGATCTCGTTTCGCCCTCGCGCGGCTCGCCTCCGGTATAGTGTCTTCCGCGACGCAGGAGCCTCGTGGCCGCGAGTCTCTCGCCGCAACATGGGTTGCGAACTGAGCAAGCTGGCCACCTCGAAGTCGCGCAATCAAGCCGGAAACGATGGCTCGTCGCCACCGCCGCCGCCGGCCGCCACGGATCCTCGACTTCCGCTCACAGCCCGGCAAAAATTTACGGTCATCGCCAGCTGGAAAGCTGTCGCCAGGGCGTTGGAGCCCACGGGCATATACATGTTCATAAGGTACGACATCGTCGCAGTTACCGTCGCCTACCGAGCGATCCACCGTAGAGAGATTCTGTCGTGCGGGTGTAAAGACGCTACACACAGAAAAGCACTATCGTAGTGCGATTACGAACAGTCTAGTTCCTCTCTTTGAAGTAATGGCTAATTTTCAACAAAAACTACTTTCTTGATAATAGTCTTCAAATGTACTCATCATAAGGTGATGAGAAAAGTTTGTTATTCTTTAGGAGAGTATCATAAAATTCCAAGAAAAAGTTTATTCGATTCTGTGTAGTAAGCAGTTAGTAAGCAGAATTTTTGTTTTAATATTCTTGATTAAAATGCTAAACTCACTAGGATTCAAAATGTATTCTGAGTAAATTTAATACTTGTGATGAGCTTATGGATACATTTACAGACATATAAACGTACCAAATACTTGAAACAAATAACATTTACTCGCATTTTTCTGTGTGTAGATACATTGAGAAAAAAATGTTTGGTATTAATCGCATGAAGAAATAATCATTGTAAATTATGGTTAAGAAAATCGTTATTTTATTAAATTCTACTATAGTGTTAATGATAATAACCCTTATATGTGTATAAGTACTACCATATATATTTTCGTGTTAGAACAATCAAAACTATATATATATATATATATATATATATATATATATATGGTTAAGACCAAAAATAATTATAATTTTAATTATATCAATCATTTTTTTCTCTCAGTGTGGTCGATAATTTTGCACCGCAACCTATTCAACCTATTCAACACGATGTTATGCGACCGAATCGAAAGCGGTGGGATTTTCGTTCATCGCGTTAGCTTCCTCGCTAAATACCGCGATTTTTCTGTGCTTTTGCTTTCTCAAGGATTTTCCCTCTCAATCGAATCGTGTCCTTCAGCAATCGAACGAGTCAATCCGAAATTAAATATGAGTAGCTTAACTCTGTGCGCATGTTGTTTAAATCTTTTGATTATCTTATTCTACAAATTTTTTTTTTATAACGTGTAAATAAACAAACATGATATTACGACAACATACTCTTTTCCTTTAAATAAAAATAACCTATTATATTATTATAAAGAAGCATCCATACTGTTTGTAATTTTTGAAATTTATTAAATTGAGACGTGCAACTTTAACTTCGTATATACACTGTGAGAGAAGAAATATCTAATAAAAGTTAGTAAATATTAATTTTGTGGGTACTAATAGCGTATTCACTCTCTCTTAAATCCAAATTCTTTTATTTAAATAGAACAAATAATTGCTTTCACGAAAAACCGAGGTTTTCTTGAAGTCTTAAGAAAATATATATTTTTTCCTTTGAAATATATTTTATATTAGTAAAAATAATATACGCTGTTAACACTCACATCAAATTTACAAAAATTTACATCAAATAAAAATTTACTTTTTCTTAGCCACTTTTTCTCTCATTAATTCCAGGCGCAAGAAATAAGGCGCTTCATAATTATTAAGATATCTTGCATTTCTCGGTTGTTTCATACATTATCGACCGCTGGATTACGTAACACGGTCATTAGTTTAATCGTAAGGCCTCATGCAGGAAATATGAAACGCGATAGGAATGAGTACGCGTAGATGATAGATCGAGCACTACCAATCCTTTGAGCCAATTAAGATAACTACCTCGATAAACGATATCATTGAAACTAAATAAACTCACTGGCTGATTAATGTGTGTTTCGCGCGGGAGTTATCTAGATAAAAAAATACAATGCGTTGTAACAACGCACAAGTAGTCTTTAATTTATGTCGTAATATCATCAACGAATTATATTTGACGCCGGAATACTTGGGAACGACAAAATTGGACATCCTTTTTTGCGAGGGAGTGTAATTACTATATCCACATGAACTACTTGAAATTTCAAGCATGCGGAGCGACAGACAGCAAGCCGATTAAGAATTGAACTTAAAATAACCACGAGAGCACGTGTGTGACCCGCATAATCGATCTCGCACGTAATACGCGAATGCACTTCACGCGAAGTTCCCTCGAAACTTGCAACCGATACTCAAAGTCTGTAAACGCAGCAATTACGACCTACCGTTTTCCAAATCTGGAGAGACGTAGAATGAGTGAGTGATAGTTTGGCAGCTAAATTGCTACACGAGATGCAGCCCGCTCAGGGCTCACGGTTCGAGGGTGAAAACGAAGATATTTAACACCGCGGGGAAATGCTTCGAGCTTACGGATAATTCCTGTACGAATTCCGGTTTCAATAACGATCGCATCGAGACGAGAGTATCTGTACACTGAGAGAAAAGTTCACGATATTCGGTCAAGGATTCAACGAACGCATACACACGTTCCAATCAAACTTGCTGATGAAATTAATCGAAAACTTCCCGAGTAGAAATTTATCTAGTTTCTGATCAATAATTGTTTAGGAATTTTTGGTAACCAGCTAGGTTTTAGCCAGTTTTCTTGGCTAGAAACTGACTGGTTTAGTCGACACTCACTTCGCCAAAAACTGGACAGTTAAACTAGACAGTTTCAGATCAGTTTTTAATTAGATTTTGATCAGTATCTAACCTGTTTATTTGCAGTTCCTAAGCAGTTTTTTACTAGTTTCTATATAGTTTTTGACTATTTTATAAGTATTTTTTATCGGTTTCTGATCAGTATGTATTTTTTTCAGTTTATTAATAGTTATAAATAATTTAACTATATATATGCATCGAAACAATAATTTTATTAAAATTAAATTTTTATAATTTTTATTAAAAAAATTTTTCAACTTTAAAAATTTTATTAAATTTTAATAATTTTATTTAATTTTATTAAATTTTATTTAATTTTTATTAAAACAATTTTTCAACTTTAATATAATATTTTATTTTATTTTGGCCAGGAACTATCTAAAAAAAGTTTTTCAGTAATTTCCGATTTTTTGCTGGACAGAAAATACACAGCTTATCATTTTTCTTGTATAGTTTCTGACAAATAATTGGCCCAAAAATACTGAACAGTATTTTCAGAGTTTTTACTGGGAAACTATTCAATATTCACTTATTATTTTTCTTGCATAGTTTCTGACAAAAAACTATCTAAGAAATATTGAACAGTATTTTCATAGTTTTTAATGAACAGAAACTGTAGTTTTTCAGTATTTACTTACTATTTTTTCAAGTTTAGTTTCTGACTAGTAATTGGCCATGAAAAAGTAGCCAATATTTTCTGTCAAGTTTCAAAACAGTAACTGTCTAATTAATCCTAGTTAGTAAAAACTGTCTAGTTACTGGCCAGTAATCAGTTTTTCCCTGAGATGTACTTCGGTTAATTAGACGACCAAAGATGATCTGATATATCGCTGGAGTGGAATGTTCGTTTGTTAATTTTCTATCAACTCGCGAGTTTTTTTCACGATGTAGATGTACCGTGACTGAAATTTCGACAATTTGCAAGCGTGACGCGTCATTATATGGGGCGTGTGACGCCATCGCGTTTGGGAATCGATTTCCTCTCCGATAGTGCCATTAGTATATCGAAAAGGATTTCCCATCGCCGGCTTCCGCGTTTGCAAGACACGATGGGTGGCCGTACCTTCTCCCCCGGCTCGGGACACGGCGTGTTTCGTTCCCGTCGTTACGCGCCATTACGTGATTAGCTGAGCGTTTAGGCTCTTCAAGGCCGCCATCAACGTCAGTCGCAGCCCTGAGAGAAGGTGGTTGTACCCGTCGATCCTTACCCCCTTCTCACGTCCGTTCTCACCTTTGCGACGTTCCTTTGCACAGAGGAGATCTATCGGTGGATCGTAAACCGGGCGTCGGCCGTGTGTCATCGCTCGTGCATCGGACTGAGGGATAATCTTCCTTCTGGAGACCGTATTTTGATCGCACAAAGCCGTGCTTGTGACGCGCGGGTTAAACGTGAAAGCACCGGCCCGTCGAGACCGTCGTAATTAAGGTCGTTTAATCCTTAAATATATAAATTTTTATATCAATGCGCGACTACCGTTCAAGCAGCACACTAGTGCATGAAAGTGGGACGTTTGTAATACTTTTTTATAATGAAAGAGACGCATTCAAAATCCTCTGGTTAGAGTATTATGAAATATTTGTCGTTCTTTTGTTAAATTTTTATTTACTAAGAAGTTCCCATCTTCTTCTAGACTTAAGGCTTGTATTAATACTCGTTACTTCAAGCTTGTCTCATGTGAGATATTCAGATTTTTATTCGGAATTGGATCCAAGCTCTTCAGTTGGATTATATGTTATATATAAGATTTATGTTTTATATGACATAAAATTATATGTTAGTATGACATAAGATTTGTTTGCGTTGTTTGCACTTTTGATACTTTTACACTTAATGCTCGTTGCTGGCTTCTCTTTGGAAAGAACAGTTTTCATTGGATTTCGCTCATTCGCGTGGTGTGCAACGGACATTACGTGCAAGAGTGTCAAAAATGCAAGCAATGCGAACAATCGCATGTTCACAATGGCAGTTTAACTGAAAACTCTCGTCTAACTTTGAACTCAGATCTGAGTATTTCACTTGAAAGAAGTTTCAAGTAACGATTATTAATATGGACCAACCTTTAGGCTACCGACATTTTTTCATTAAAAAAGTGGTCTTTTTCCAAAAAACTTTTCTATATAAGTAACATACATAGAATTTTGAGATTTGTGCAGAACCACAAAAGTGGTTTTCCCGGCAGTTTAAGCATTAAAAAGGAAACAAAAAGATCTCATTAGACGTTTGAAAGGAATCCCTAATTAGTTTCTTATTTTGTTCAGAAAAATTATTGATACCTCAAAACTGGATGATCTGTTTTACAATTTTATCGGATAAACACGACGAACCCTTCGCGTTAACTTAGCACCTTCGAGATCACACAGAAGGAGGGGAAAGATAGGCAGGACTCGATTGAAAAGCTCTCCTGAGTGTGCGTAGTGTAAACAACCAGCTTAAAACAACGTAGATAAATTTTTTTCCCAAGTATGCTTCAGGCGAAATCTTGGCATTTC